TGAGGGTGGAGGGGCTGAAATGTTCTATAGCTTGATATGGGCGGTCATTGCATGGGTGCTACATATATAAAAAGTCCTCCAGCTGTATATGCTTCAGATTTGTGAATTTTACTGTGAGGTTGTCATATAGCAATTAAAATTGGAAAATAAAATAAAATGAGCCTCGACCCTGGGATTGAGTAGGTGAGCCAGCCCCTGGGCCCCCTCAGAGCATTGCCCAAGAGGCCACTGAGTCACAAAGGAATGACAAGTTGCCTGGGGGACTGCAATAGGGGACTACATGCATTTACATGAACCAAACTAACTGGATAACATGAATCTACTCCAGGTGTGATGATTAAACAAATGAAATTTATGCAACGATGTCTTAGAATTTCACAGTCATATAACATGTGTGCAAAAGAACTTATTTGGCAAAGAGCCCTCCGTCCTTTTGCTCCTTTTCCCTAGTCACAGAAAATTTATTTGAAGCATCAATGTGGCCAGCCTTCTCTGAGCCACCTTTTTGTGTAGGTGTGCCCTATACTAGAGGGTACAGCTAATTTCTGGCCACTGAGATGTGAGCAGAAGTAAGTGAGACCACTGGAAGATCTCCTTTAAGAGAGAGATATGCCCTTATTTCTTTCTTCCATATTGCTGCCTGCAGATGTGATGGCTGGAGCTCTAGCAGCCTTCTTAGATCATGAGGGCAAGTAAGTTGTCTGTAGGAGGTAAATCAGTGAGCTGGAAGAAGCCTTTGGTCCCTGGTGATTTTATCAAGGCTCCGAGGCTGCCTATTTGGCCCAAGACAAAGCTTTCTACCTTGTTTAAACCCTGTTATTTCAGATGGTTGTTTTTTTTTTTTTTTTTCATATACAACCAAGTCTAACCCAGAAAGGGTCCCTTTGCTTGTGTATCATGGTGCCCTGAGTCTCTCACAGAGTAGTGCACATTGATCCCCTACTGGCTGTATGGCCTGGACCATGGTGTGGGGAAAGGGGACGTCAGGAAGACCATCTGCCAGAGAAGTGACACGAAAAGGCTAGGATTTGAGAGTGTCAGATGACTACAAATGACTACAAACTTGTACCACCCACCTCCTTATCTTCACCTTTATAAAGTGACTTTACAGCTCCTCCCAGCAATATTGAATCTATTTCTCTACCCTTTAATCTGGGTTAACCATGTGACTTACTTTGGCCAATGACAGAGTAACAAAAGTGGCCCAAGCAGAGGTCTGAAAAGCATTTGAGCACTGGGATGTGCCCTCTCGTTACTGTTGGAACCCTACGATGGCCATGTGAAGAAGCTTGGGCTAGTCTGGCAGAGGATGCCAGATGATGGGAGAGAACCCCCAGACAGCTCCAGCTACCACATCAGCTGGCCATAGACAGACACCACATCAGCTGCTCTTTGAGTGGGATAAGTCTAGAGGAGACCTAAGGAGCCCAGCCCAGACCAGAAGAATCGTCTGGCTAAGCCACAGACTAGTGAGAAATAAGAAACAGCTATTGTTTTAGACCACTAAATCTTGGAGTAGCTTGTCAGCAATAGCTGACTGATACAGGGGACATGGCTTTTGAAAAGCAAAGTTCACACCACCTTACCCCAGGGCAGTAGTAGTGAGGAATGAACTGAAACCGATCAGGAAAATGCAAGACAGCCAGTCCTGTGCCATTCCCAAGATTTCTCCGTTTGTCCCTGACTCTCCCCTAAGCCCGGCCCATCTCTCAGCTAGGTATATGTCTCCTCGAGGAGTATAGGGAGGGCTCCAAGCTGACCTCTCCATTTCTCTTAGTGAGCAGTAAATGAGGAGAGCAGGGGACCACAGGAGGACAGCCATATAAGCATGGCTTTCCTGGGGCAAAGGGAAGACTCAGCTCCAGGAGTCAGGGAAGAAGTGGGGGTGGAGGAAGTCACAGCCCTTGGGGCTAGTTTATGCCTTTAAAACATGCAGATGGACAGAATGAGTCTTTTCTATTATAAAATATGTGCTTAGCATATTTATGTGATAGTTTCAACACGTGCACTGAATTGAGTTACTGCATTAGGGAAGGAGATTTCCTTTGCTGATTTTGACACACTTTGGTCTGTCTGTAGCCTTTGCACAGGTGACCTTCACGCACAAAAGGAACCCCGGCGTCTGGCAGGGGGATGACCTGGGGTGGGATCCTGGCACACAAGCCACTCCTGGCTTTGAGCTTCACTCAGATGGTCTCAAGTGTGTTGCTCCCAGGAAATGCAAAAGGAGGGGATTTTCTGCAAGGAGCTCCATGCAGAGCACGGGGGCCCTGCTGTGCTGTTTACTTAGAGCAGCCCGCAGAAAGCTGGGGTGCGGGGAAACTTGGAAGACTGCCTGCACCCAGGGAATTGGCCTCCTGGGCCAGCAGCCTGGGTGGAACCATGAGATGTAGGGCTCAGCTGGCAGAAAAGACTGACCTTGCTTTGACATGTGGCCTTGCCCCTTTTCCTCTCTGCACAAAAGCCCCTTTCATTTTCTTCCCTCCTCTTTCTCCTCTCCTCTCATTTTCCCACTCTCTTTCAATCTCTTTCACCCGACTTTTTCTATCTTAATTGGCCGTAACAAGGAATTGAATTCCTTTTATTATGCACTATATTTGTTGAATACAGTTTTATGTTCCTTGCTCTTAATTTTTAAAGTGGATTAGCTGAACGCTTTATGGTTTTCTTTCCAAAATTTTTATATCACAGCAGTAGACATTAGGGATGTTCACAAATATTCCAGTTCTCCGTGTGGGCACACGATGGATCAGATGTCCCCTTCTGTTTTTGAGACACCTGATGGCCATGTCACTTGTTTGAGCCAATTAAAAATGTGAGCACTCCTGGGTGGAAGTTTAACAGCCAGTGAGCTTTCAGGACACTTGGTTTTCCTGCTGCTGTGGTGATGGGGGAAGCTTCTGTCGAGGTGAAGACTTTTTCAGCTTGGGCATCTGAGTGGCTGCAGTGAGCATATTCTCCCTGCCAGCCCATATCAGGCACAGAGCATAAATAGGGAATAAGCTTTGCTGCATTTAAGCCACCGAGTTTGTTACTCTAACATAGTCTTACCTATTTGAACTGATGCAATCATTTTACCATATATCATCCTAATTTTCTATGCTGGTGTTTTTAATCTTTTTCATGGGAGTGGTCACAATCCCTTTGAAAATCTGATGAGGGCAGGGTGCAGTGACTCACACCTGTAATCCCAGCACTTGGGAAGGCCAAGGTGGGTAGATCATCTGAGGTCAGGAGTTTGAGACCAGCCTGGCCAACATGATGAAACCCTATCGCTACTAAAAATACAAAAAAATGTAGTTGGGCATGGTGGCACACACCTGTAATCCCAGGTAATCAGAAGCCTGAAGCAGGAGAATAGCTTGAACCCGGGAGATGGAGGTTGCAGTGAGCCAAGATCATGCCATTGCACTCCAGCGTAGGTGACAGTGAGACTCTGTCTCACACACACACACACACAAAAAGGAAAATATGATGAAACTATGAGCTCCGTTTACCTAAAAACGTCCACATGAGATCCTGTAGGCAGTTGCAGGTGTTCACTCGCTCCGGTGTGCAAAACTGATGCATAACCATCACTGAAGTTTGAGCAACTTCAGTCCAAGGTGCCAGGTGGAAAAAAGTCTTCCTTCCTCCTCATTCTTGCCTCTGCCCTGCGGTCCCGAAACCATTGCAGACACAGAACTCTGACCATACTAGCGGTGTTCTAATGACAAGAAGTCATGCATCATTTCAATCGCTGGAGCCTTAGCAATAATTGGAATATGAATAATTAGATTTCCATGGAGGTTCCCCATGAGAGAGGATGAACATCTACAGGGATGCCCTTGACAGCAGGTCAGGGTTTGGGCACTTCTGGGGCAACACCTCAGAAACCCCCTGGCAGGGTAGAACTGAAAATAAGTAGTAGCAGGGAGTTGGGGAGGGGGTGGTAGAATGCAATGACAAAGCACTTCACCATGACCCCATAGGCTTGTCCTTGTGGGCTTCTTTGTACTACGAGCCCTTCCTTTATCTGTAACACCATGACCCTACATCTGGAGGAATGAATTCTTTTTTCACTACTGCACATGTGAGACCTTTTTGCCTTTATGAATGTCAGTTTCATCATTGGCTAAATTATTGACTGAAAAAATTCACTTGCAAGCTGGTTGTTCAGAACTGGTAACAAACGCCCCCCCCCCCCCCGCCGCCCCATGAAGACAGTGTTTAAAATGGTGGTCAATCTCCTCAGACAAATTACTGGTCTATCAGGTGCATCTGAACATTAGAAAATGTTGGAATTCAAATGTAGGAATCTCTTAATTTAGGTCCTCAGTCCCCAAGGTGCACTATAGCTAAAATTAACCCTCTCTCTCACCCCAAGTAGCCGAATGCAAAAAGGGGTTTCAGAGGAAAGCTATTTTCTTGGACTAATTCTCACTAAAATATGAGTGATTGGAAACCCCTTCATCCTTCATTCTCATTAAGTGATTGGGAATCCCTTAATCCTCACATTTTAAAAAATACATCTTAGAAACCCAATTGGATGCCTAAGTGAAAGCCAAAGTCAAGAGTAGTGAAGGCATGTTTTCTGGGAGTTTGTCTCCTGGGATCAACACTCCAAAGCACAGTTCTTAATTGTGAAAACTTCACTTCATCTTTCTACCAGCCCACACAATTTCTAAAACAAAGGAATTTTTTAAACTAGCTCTTAAGGTCACCATATTAGGGTTTCCTGTGTGTGTGTTTGTGCATTTGAGGGGGCATCACAGACAAGAAAAGCAGCAGCTGTCGACAGCCATGGGCCACTGATAAGTCCAGTGTCCATTAAGCCAGAGAATTCCCAGGAACAGAAGTATGCTCTATGCCAACTTCTCCTAGAACCTTCTATAATAAGTGAGTGGCATTGTCTGCAAAGCAATCTGGCGTCTTGGGAAAAGGAAACCCTTATTGGAGGGAGTGGGTGGTTGGGGGTGGGAAGAATAGATTTTTCATTCCTCAAAACCACTTTCAGAATATAAAATTAGTCACAGCCCCTTTATACTAGGAACAGAAATCAAATTCACAAGCTGCCTAATTTTGCCTAAAGACACATCTCTTTGTGCCACGGGGCTATGTCCAGAGGTCTGACAGATGAGATAGTCTTCATTCCCTTCCAACTGGGTGAGAATGTACCTCCCAGAAAGAGCTGGGTGCCAAAGAGGGCGTTATCATCTCTTCCTTCATTCAGCAGCTTTGTCTGCAAGATTGGAAAACGGATAGTTGGTATATTTTGAGGGATCAAATAATTAGTTCTCTTGGAATCTCATTTTAGATTTTAATTCTTAGTCTTAGAGCCAAACTATAGGAGCAGAAATTTCTATCTGCGGCTGGAGGGCTTCAGTTTCGGCACACTAAAAAAAGGCCCTGCTTTGGAGGCATTTTTCCATGCATGAATCAAATTATTCCAGCTGGGTTTTACCAACACGTAGGCAATCAAAATCTACTTTCACTTGCTATTTTATTCTTTATTTACTAGTTCTATAAATACTATGATGGGTGTGCTTTTATATTGAGGATGGGGGGGTGCTAGTCAGAGAGAACAGCTGCCTGCAGCCTTAGGTCCTCTGCAGACCTCAGGTTGGTGGGGAGACAGGCCTGTCTGCCTCCTGCCCACTCTGGTCTTTGGGCTCGTGAGTGTAGCCACTGGTCTTCCATTTGTCATACCTGTGCAGGGCACTTTTGCCACCCTCCTTTTCTTCATAGACTGAGAAGGCCAACCTGGTTTGTCAGAAAGGGTACCCAAGTCTAGCAAGAAAACAAAAATAAAATACTCTTAAAATCCAGGAAAGAAGCAGACAAATACAAACTGCAGATAATTCTGGCCAAGGCTGGTCATCTGGAAGCGGCATCTGGAGAAAGAAAGGGAACTTAAGATGAGGGGTTGCCCTTGGTGGCCTCCAGCTCTGATAGCTTATGATTTGATGAATTAGACCTGTGCTCCAGGCCCCAGTGGATAAACCAGGATTAAGGGGTGAAGTGCCCAGGGAGGCAGATTCTGACTCAGCATCAGGACGAATTTGATAAAGATTAGAGTTGCCTAAAAATGAATTGGGCTGCCTTGGGGGTAGCAAAAGCCCTGTCTCTGCAGTTTTTTCAGGCATGGGATGACCCTGAGGAGCAGCCATGGAGAGGAGACTCAAAGCTCCAAGAAAGTTAATTTGGTGACAGTTAATGTCTTCTCCAACTCAGGAATCCCACAACCTATGTTCCTGGGACTCTGAACTTCCAAAGGAAGTTCATGTGCCCTTCAGGTTCTCTGCTGCGTTTCCTAAACAGACATAGCTCCTTCTGCCTATAGGGACCAGAGATCCTCCAATTTGGGCCACCACAGGGGCCCATAAGCAAGGGGTGGCCACAAAGTTATTGTTAGGGAGAATACAAGAGTAAGAGGGCAGAAAAGTGTTCCCCTAAAGGTTGAAAACGTGGAAGGCCAGGATATATAAGCAGGCCCAAAGCTAGGTGGGAAAGGAGAAGACATCCAAGACACAGGCTCTCTCAGTGTCTGAAAAGTTGCCATAGAATAATCAGAGCTTCAGCATGCAAGGTATCTCCTTGTTCCCCCTCCTCTTCCCAGAGATTCATTTGCAAGCCACAGCAGTTCTCCGGGGGCTCTTGCCATGTAGCAAGAGCTACCTAAGAGTTGTTTTTATTTTGTCAGGACAGAGCTCTTAAGCCAGCAAGGACCTGCAGCTGGGACTCAAGCCACAGGAGCTTCAGGGCTAAGTGATGATGTCCCTGCTCAGCACTGGGGCAAGGAATGCCCACTCCCTCCAGCATCAGCTTTCCCATGTGAGTCCCAGCCAGCCTCCGACCTCAGCCCTCTTCTGAGAGACTGGGCCTGCCCACAGCGCTGTCAACCCCTAAAGGGCCTTGGGCTTCTGCTTGTCCTTCCAGGCCACCAGTGGCACACACCTGACTGAGACATGGAAGTGGGCCTCAGCATGGCCTGATGGGACTGCGGCCCAGCCATCCTGAATACTCGCCTGATGAAGGAGTCAGGAATTCAAGATGGCTGATGTGCTGGGTTGAATAATGCCGCTCCCCCGCCCAAATTCATGTTCACCCAGAACCTCAAAATGTGGTCTTGTTTGGAAATGGATGCAACGGCCCTTCCCCACTGGCATAAATTTAGTGAGTCAGAACACTCACACAAGTCAAGCAAAGCAGATTTATTACTCACAGAGTAATAGGCAGCAAAAGCAAAGAGAAGCCTAGGACCCATGGTGAGCCAGTTCCCCAAGGCTCAAGAAAGCTGCTTAAGGTGGATGGAGTCTCTTCTGCATGTGCCCCATGTCACACTGCAGCTGAGGGGCCCCAAAAGCACTCAGCCCTGGGTTTTATACCCTCAGTGTCACTGGAATTGCTGAGAATAAGCACTACAGGACATTTCTGTTCTAGAAGAACTGAGGACAGAGGCCAGGCTGTTCCAGACAGTGCCTTCTTATCAGAAGATATTGCATTCTTGGCATATTCTCCAATATTCTGGGAACTATAAGCTGCGGGGTGGAGAAGAGTTAGGTCAGTCAAGGCCATCTGGGGACCTGGTCTCCTGCAATAGGGTCTTTGTAGATGTAATCAAGTTAAGATGAAGTAGACCCTAAATACAATGACGGATGTCCTCATAAGAAGAGAGAAGTTTGGACACAGACACACACAAAGGGAAGATCATCAAGTGAAGATGGAAGCAGAGGTTGGAGTGATGTGTCTATAAGCCAAGGAGTGCCATGGGTTGCCAGCAATTACCAGAAGCTGGAAGACGTAAGGAAGGATCCTTCCCTAGAGTCTTCAGAGAGAGCATGGCCCTGACGGCACTTGGATTTTGAATTTCTGGTCTCCCAAATTGTGAGAGCATGAATCTCTTGTTCTAAGCCATCCAGTTTGTGATACTTTCTTACAGAGCCCCAGGAAACTAATACAGCCCACTTGACTGCCTGCCCCCCTACCCCTAGCTCCAGTGGATTCTGGCTGGGCCTTGGGGCCTCTTGACCCATCTGGATTTCAGTGTATTAGACAAGGGGAACAGGGAGCTTTGCCTTATGGGAGTAGCCCCACAGAACTGGAATGGCTGGAACCAAAACCACAAATCTTTTTCCCCTTTATTTCTCAGAGGGCCACCATCTCTACCCCCAAGCTCACCTCAACTCCCCAGCCCCCTGATACAGCCCTGCCATTTCTGGACCATGACTGTCTTCAAGGTGTCGCTGTTGGAAAAAGTTGACAATCTCACATCTAAGGGCACTATCCCCAGTAAAGATCTGGGGAGCAGGTACAAATCAAGGGTCCCACAGTCTATGTCTGGCCTCTGCAGCATGGCAAAAAATGCAGATTGGTAGCCAATGTTTAAAAATCGAAAGATTTTATACTAAAACTTTTTTCCATTTCTTCTTCAAAATTAGAAAATTTGATCTCACCCACTGAAGCTGAGAAGAGGATAGCTCCCTTTTGGGTCTGGACATCCCCACTTAGCTTTCCACAACCACAGTGCTCCCTATAACTCTCTTCCAGTGAGGCCAGCTATCAGTTGCCATAAATCATTTCTTTTCATTTTGTGGGTCTGGTATGTTGCTATTAAGAGGAGAATGAAATATTTCCCATACCCATGTCTCTATCAAAGGTGCAGAAAAGAAAGGGATGTGTCTTTAAAGGAAAATGGGAGTGAACATATATCTTGGAGTGGAATTGGAGACTCTTATGTCATTACTATGCAAAGCATTTTCCCACAGAGCACAGCAAAGCCTAGGATGCCATTCTGGAATGAAAAAAAGAAGAAAACCCAGCCTGATCATTCCCTTACATCCCTGTCCCATCCTTGTAGGAAGCTGACTTTGCAACTCATGCTGAAAAGACTAAAGGTTCTCAAATGTTCTCTTTCCAAGCTTTCCGACACCATGGCCCTAATCAGGGTTCTCTCGAATCTCTCTCCAGTCTCCTCCGACTTCAATGGGACTTTTCAGAGGAAATGTGATAAAGTTTGCAAAGAGCCACTTCCCCTTTTGAACAGCTTTTATGGTCTCTGCTGCCTACATAAAGCCTCGCCCCCACCAGCTACCAGCTCCTCCCTCCCATGCAGGCTCATTCTCCACTCCTCACCCTGACTTAACTTCTCAACCCACCCTGCTTAACCTGGCTCAGCCATGTCTAATTGAGCAGACACTGCTGACACCAACAGAGTGTTTACCTCTTTGTGCCTTTGAGCTAGCTTTTCGTTCCATCTCAAATGCCTTTCTTTATGAAGTTGAAGTCTTCCTGGCCTCATTCACTCACTCAGCTCAGGAGATTGAGGATGTCATGGCAGACTCCCAGAAGTAGAATTTTCATGTGAGCCTCTAGATTCCTGGAAGGATGACTTCAAGACTTTAGAGTGTTTATTCGTGCCATCTTAGGGGATTTACTGTGTTTCTCTGATAATAGATGATGGCTAGAACTTGGCTTAGTGGAGGCAGGGCTCTTCCCTCACTCACCTATGAAGGATAGCTGAAGAGGGGGGAGTTCTGGCAGATCCTGTGTTTGAACCTAGTACTGGGGATGTCAGTTCTGGACACCAGTCCCCAGAAAACTCAGTCTAAGTGATACTGTTTGGGAGCCTCAGAGTTTTGTAATCATTCTGAGATCAAACATAATTTCAGTAGTAATTACTTGAGGAGGAAAAAATCCTTGAACCTCAGAGGCAATGCAACCTCAGTGACCTGGAAACACAAACACAGCTGTGGGCATCATGGCAGCCTGGAACTTGGGGGTGAGGATGAGGAGTGGACTGGGGCAAAGATAGCAACTGCAGGAACTTACTGGAAAAGAGAGGAGTCTCAGTGCCCCTGGAATTGTCACCCAAGCTCCTAACGCTCCCCTTCCTGTCATCTAGCTTCCATCTGCTAACAAACTCCTACTCACCAGCTATGCCCCAGGTGGAATACTTGCTCCTCTGGGAAGGCTGCCCAGATCCACTTTCCTTTTCCGGTCCTCCAACTTGACGGCTTTCGTAATACCTTTGCTGCCTGAAGCTCAATACAGTAAGCACCCCATCAAACAGTCTTTCCGCCTCCAACCCCTTGCCACCACAAATTACCCACAGGCTTCACTTCCCTAATGCCATGCTCATGTTTCTTGTTTTCTGTGGCAGCCCTTTGATAAAAAAGCCAATTCTCCCTCTTAGCTATTTTCTGCTTTGGACTAGGTACTCTGGACTTTCTGGAACAAACTTGCCTCCGCCCAGGCACAGACTCAACTTCCCTTTGCTCCATGCCCTGTAGCTGTGTGCCCGCTCAGCTGCTTCCACACACAGGCCTGGCTTCCAGAACTGCAGCCTGGGCCCAGTTCCAAGGACCTTGGCTGCACAGTGTGAGATAGTAGACATCTCAGCGATCAGGACCATTCCCACCTGCATGTTCCTGCTGCTCATTCGTCCTGCATCTCATTTCTAGTACCTCCTTGTATCTTTGTCTTTTGTGCCAACCTGTGCTTCTCAGAGGCCAAGACTCCATTTTATCTTTCTGTGTCTCTTCAGAACTTCATGAGAGGCCTGACATCTAACAAGTTGTGATAGATGATATTGTTTGCCCATCATTCTTTACTCCTTGTCCCTGATACTGTTTACCATGGACAAAGTGTATTTCCCCGTCCTCTGATGCTGAGCTTGACCATGGGAATTGCTTTGGCCAATGGCATGTGGGTGAAAATGATAGTGTATCAAGCTACGAATTAAAGCTTTAAGCTTCTGCCAGCCCTCTTGAAGCTTCTGTCTTCTGTTATGAAATAAGCATGCTCCAGGTAGCCATTGCTATTTCAGTCAGGGTCTCAGAATAAATCCATGTGGAACAAATATGAATACAAACTGAAGCCTGGACTCAAATCTAGCATGGCTTAAACTGTAGCCAACCTCCATATTTGTGAGTATGAAATAAATGTTTGCAGTCATAAGTCACTGACATTTGGGAGTTCTTTGTTACATAGCATGATTACAGAAAAAAACTAACTAATATACAGTCCCTAAGGAACACTTTTGAGGGATAAACCAATGGGTAACAAATAAGTTAAAGTAAAAATTACTCTCAAGAGAATCAGCCTAGCTCCAAATAGAATTCACAGGAAATCAGTGGTTCTCAAAATGTGTACCCCAGCCCAGCAGCATCCACATCACCTGGGGATTTTTAAGAAATGCAAAATCTGGGGCCTTTCCCCACACCTACTGAATCAGAAACTCTAGGGGTGGGGCCCAACAACCTGCATTTCTATAAGCCCTAGAGGTGATTCTGATGCACCCTTAAGTTTGAGAACCTCTGCAGTAACTGCTGAACTAGAATAGCTTCCTGCAATCTAGGAACCATTCATTTCCTGAAATGCAGACATCCCAGAATTTTAAATGATAAAGCCTGATTAACCTAATGCCTTTACCATCCCCAACACCATCATCCTATTTAATCAAAGGTGCCCTGAGTCATTCCATCCAGGTATAGAACTTCCTTGCCCAGTGGCTCTCAACTTCAACTGCATAATAGAATCTCTTAGAAACTGTCAAAAATCTTTATGCTCAGGTCACACCCACATCAATTAAAACAGAATCTCTAGTGGTGAGACCCAAACTTCACAATTGTTTAAAGCTATCCCAGGTGATTCCTCTGTGCAGGCAAGGTGGAGAATAGCCTTTCCATTTTCAAGAAACTGGGGCTAACCCTGCAGCTACCTGCTTTCACTTTTAACCATGCAAAGCACGGTGCGTGGCCTTCCTGCCCCAGGGCTTCAGAACCTGAAGACTTGTTAGATATCCTATGACTCGGTGCATTTGCAGCAAGTTTAAGAGACTGAGTCTGACCAGGGAGGCCTTGGGGAAGCACAGAACACTGGCTGTAAGAAAATGATGTAACTTCAGTTATTCATTCTTCCAACATATCCAGAGTACCTTCCACGTGCCAGGCAGTGTGCTAAGGGCTTGCAAGTCTTACCAGGGGCAAAACTAAACCAAGCAGGTGTGGAAGGAAGGACCCATGACTGCATAGAGGACCCCACAGGAGCTTGAGCGCTGAAGCATCACTTAAAGCAGTGGGTTCCTAGCCAGGAGGCAAGTGCCCAGGCTCTGCTCTGGAGGCCAAATGGCTGGCTACCCTCCATCTCAAGGGAGGCAGGCTGGGAAGCTTAATTTCACCCCCTCCCACTCCTCTCCAGCATAAGCTACAGGAAGTAAGGACCTTTCTCCCTGGAAGTTCTCCCCATTGCCTTTCCCTCAGCTTTTCAAAATTGTTAAGCCTTCTCCTCACCCCCTGAAGACCCCTTTCTTATTGAGCCATCTTAGTCACCATTCCCCAGAAGCAGACCTTGAGCTATAGATTCTGACGTGAGTGATTTCTGATGGAAGTGCTCCCAGGGGAAACTGATAAGGGAGTGAGGGAAGCAGGACAAGTGAGCAGATGAATCCAATTGAGTGTGCAATGTTGGGACGGACCACTTCCACAGAGGGGAGCTCCAGCCTGAGCCTGCTAGATATATTCAAGGCAAGAAAGCTGGCCTTTCCTACACCTGTGCCCAATCATTGTTGCCCAGCAAGGGGCCTTCCTGTGGCCAGGTGAAGGAGGCAAACTCCTATGCACGTTCCCTCTCTATGTCTGCAGGCAAAGTGGCTTTGGCAGCCCAAGAGCAGGCATGCAAAAGAAGGATCACAGGTACAATTCCTTGGAAGCAAAACCACCCCAAAGCTACAGGGAGGGGCATGCAGAAATGGTAGCAAGGATCCAAGGAGGAGTTACCAGATTTAGCAAATAAAAATCCAGGATGGCTAGTTTACATTTGATTTCAGGTATGACAAATCTTTTTTTTGTTTGTTTGTTTTTGTATAAGTATCCCTGTGTTAATTGGGATATACTTATACTAAATATATTATTTCTCTGAAATTCGCATGTAACTGGCTGTCTTATATTTTACCTGGCACCGCTAGCCTGAAGGTGTCTGGTAGAGCTCTGGCCATGTTCTCCTACTCAGAGAAGAAGCAGAGTGGGCCACTTTTGCTGTTCACAGAGGTGCAAGACACAGATATGATAATGTAGGCCTTTGCTGCTCCTCGTTTGCTGATTATACTGCTGCACATAGTGCTCTGTGGATCCATTAGTATTGCCCTGGGCCAATGCTCACAGCATTTGGGGTTTTTGGCCACTGTGTCTTAGCTAGGAGCAAAGTTTTAGACTATGAAGGTAGTGGGGAAACCAGTATTAAGTGTCTCATTGGCCCCTTTGGTACTTCGTCTGCATTAGACTAGAGCTGTAAAGCTAACCCAGCACCACGCAACCCCAATGCCAGGGATGAAACGATGCCCAGATGCCAAGTGTGCCTGCCTGAGAGACCCAGGTGCTAATGCCTTTCTGACAGCCCAGGCCTTAAGCCCTCAGCTGGCCCATCACTTGGTCAGCCTGACCCTTTCAGTAAGTATTTTTGCATCCTTTCACCAGTCTTTAAATAATGAAAAGAAAACTCACAGTTTTGGAAGTTGTCCCGATGGCTGGCAGGTCCTGAAAATAGTTCGGGATTGATTGATTGTGGTTATAACCATCAGGCCCCGCCATGGGCACCCCAAGCCCATGCATACTATGAAATATACAAACAGCAGACAGGGAACAAAGCCAAGACTGTGGCTCTTTACTTTGATTTGCGATCAGCTCCTTTGAAATTCCTTGTATTTAGAAGACTCTGAGAATGAATATGGTCCCCCTTCATAGCCCTGGTCTCTCCTAGGATCCTGAGACCTCTAGGGCTGAGGACGTACATGCAAAGTTCGTGCAATGTTTGAGCTTTTTGTGAGGGCAAAGCAGAGTAAATGGAGGAGAAGACGGTGGACAATTCAATGCTTTCGTGAAATTAAAGTGTGGATAAATGTGGTGATCACATTCTAGGATGTCTTACTCATAATCATTTCTTAAATGAATTAAGACATGGGTGGAATTGAACAAAAATGCCTCTTGAATCGCTCTAAATGCTCTTAAAGGCTTGAGGTATTTTTAAAAGGTACTTCCATGAAGAAACTTTAGTCATTTCATTTCAAAGGCATAAGCACTTGAAAATCACAGGATGCAACTAACTGGCTTCTGGAATTAATTGGAAAGAAACATAAGTCATTGTCTTAGGCTGAGTTCTTCCCAGAAGCAGACCCTGAGACATGAATTTGAGTGTAAGTGGTGTATTTAGGGAGATATCCAAGGAAGTGCTTGTAGGGTAGTGGAGAAATAAGACAAGGAAGGAAAGATGGGCAATAAAGCATGCATTATTGAACAATAGTGCACAGCCAGAGCTTAACCCCATTGGGAAACAGTGTAGAAGACTTCTCTTCAAACTATCTGTGCTAAAGGATTCATTTTTTTTCTTTTTAATTTCTAAGATGTTTTAGACCAATACTTTTTTCTCCTCCTGACACTTCTGAATATACAATAAAAGTGAATTCCTACAAAAAGTAAAAAAACAAGGCATACAAAATACAAGCCCCAATTTTTTACTATTGGGTTTGAAATATATATAATTACCCAATGAGATTGCTGGAGAAACTCCCAAATGCTGATTCTCAATTTCTTTTTCTTTTTTTTTTTTTTGTTCTTTTTCTTGAGATGGAGTCTCCCTCTGTTGCCCAGGCTAGAGTGTAGTGGCACCATTACTGCAACCTCTGCCTCCTGGGTTCAAGTGATTCTCCAGCCTTAGCCTCTGGAATAGCTGGGATTACAGGTGCATGCCACCACGCCCGGCTAATTTTTGTATTTTTTTAGTAGAGATGGGGTTTCACCAGGTTGGGCAGGCTGGTCTCAAACTGCTGACCTCAGGTGATCTGCCCACCCCTGCCTCCCAAAATGCTTAATTTCTCTAGTTACTGCAAACCAGTAATAAACAGTTCCCAGACTGGCACCAGTCCAGGGACCACACTTGTAACATGTGTGTCAGAGTCAGGGGAGAGGGCGCTGAGGTATTTATGTGCCAATGCATGGGTTGAGGCTTGCTTTCAGGGAGAAGTGGCTGGGGGCAGGGAGGTCAGGAGGAGAGAGGGCTGGCACTACTCTCTCACTGTGTGTGCAGGCACTTTAAAAGCCCTTGGACAAGGAGACACAGAGATGATGGCAGCTGAAAGTACAGCAGCACACTACAGCTGTAAGGGCTAAAGCCCTATGGGTGAAGCAGCCACAGCATCCCG